AAATAAAAAATATTTATTAGTAAAATTGAAAACTTTTATATAAAGAGAAAAACTCACATTTTTTATATTTTTACTATGTTTTATTAATAAATTTGTTTTAGTATTCCATTCTTTTTGATTGCTATTGTATATAAATATAATAAAAAAATATTTTTTATAATTATTATGTCTTTTATAATTATTTAATTTTGCTTTTTAAGTATAATAACTATTGAAAGATTTGATTTTAGCTATTTTTTTAAAATTTTTATTTATTATAATAGTAATAATATAAAAAAAATTATAAATAAAACTATTTTTTGAATATTTTTATTCTTTATTATCTTAATTTTTTTGAATAATATCTTTTTTTTATTTTTTGAATTATATTTTCTTATTTATTAGTTAAAAATTTTCAAAAAAATTATTTGGTTATAAAGTTAATATTATAAAGTTTATATATTTTATATATAAAAAATTTACAAAATTAACTTTATAATCAAATAAATTTATTTGGCTTTTATAGATAAAATTAATTATTATAAATACAACTAATAAACTTTAAATAATATAAAACAAGAAATATTTGTCAAAAAATATAAACTTTTAAAATTTGGATTTTTTATATGTTTTATATGTTTTATTATAAATTTTTTATAGGTTTTACTTTTTGTGGCGACTGTACATACAGTTCATAAGTATTTTATCTCATATAAATGCTTATTTATTGCATGAAATAATTTTTTTATTAGAATGAATTTTTAAATTAAATAAATTAGAAATAAATAATGTATTTTAAAAAAAATAATTAAGTGAGAAAGTTAATATTATTGATGATCATTCCATAAATGCGTTAATACTTTGTATTCTTAATTACTAAAAATTTGTAAGTTAAAAAAATACAAAACATTAAAAAATATGAATATATTTCACACAACAGAATATTAATTTAGAAGATAGTTTACTTTAAATTTTTAAAACAAAAGCAATTTTTTATATTTGAACAAAAAAACTGATCTTTACTATGCCATTCTATTTTATATTTTATAAAACTTTTGAATGTCATTAATTCTTACATGAAACACGAATAATTATTTTAAAATATTTATAAATGATTATAATAATACGTATACGTGTGACGAAACGAAATATAAATTCAAAGATTTTAAATTGTTATCATTACTTTTGTTAATGCTAATAAGAAAAATTCAATCTACCATCTAATAAACTTTTTCATAATCACTCGTATATCAAAGTTTATTAATCTAGTTCACAGTATAAAGAAAAACAACTATTAATAATAAGTTTCTTTGTTCCCTTGTTCTCTTTCCCGCATAATAAACTGCTAATAATTAGTCTTTGAACAACACAAAAAAATCAACTGTTAAAAGAGAAAAAGCATCACTCTATAAATCTCTAATTGGTATGGCTTGAGTTAAATTAAAAGTCAAATAAAAAATCAAAGTAAAATAAATAATATCGACTATTGAATAAATCATATATTAAACATAGGTTTGTCATAAAGCAGGTTTGAAATAAGAAATAGAAAAAAATCTTTCCTTTTTATTTTATATTCTTTTATTGCTTTTCCCTTTGAAACGCGTGAATTCTCGTTTTTTATTTACGCGCATTTTTCGACGATCGTTTATTTGACTCATCATTATTCCATTTTCGTTTCCTTCTTAAATATAGTGTTATTTTTTTTAACTTTTTTTTTTTATTAGTATTAACATACATTCTATCACTTTTGCATACTTTCATTTGATTTATACGCGTAATATTCGAAAATCATTTTAATGATTTTCATCTTATTCTCTAGCAAATGGGCATTATAATTGAAACATTTCACGGTATGTGAGAACTTGTACAATCGAGAATTCGAAAAAAATTGTGTCATTTCAACTTTATATTTACAAAAATACCTTTCAACAGGCAAAGTTCCAAATACAAAAGCTGCTGCTATTATTTTCGGTGAGTTTAAAATCAGGACGATAACGATTTAACGTTAATAAACGTCATAATCGTTATATTTTAGAGGCTTGCCGTCGAGGAATTCTCGATAGAACAAATCGTCGCCTTTTGGATGAAGAAAGAAGAGCTTTGAAAGGTGGCGAAATGTAAGTCTAATTTATTAGTTTATACAATCGATTGTTTTGCCAGAAAGAGAATTTATCTAATTTCGATTCCATCGATTAGTTTTGTTTTTGCCGAGAAGTCTTCCGGTATCAAGCGCTGGACGGATGGAAAGTATGTATCGATATTTTCCAAACTAGTGAATACACTAAACTAAGCTTATAATGTTTCTTAGATATTGGTCTCCAAGTCGGGTAATCGGTGACTTTTTAGTCTATTTTGAACTCGACACTCGAATGCACAATATTAAACGCGAACAAGACATTAATCCGAGCCTACGTTCAAGAATCGAACGCGAAGGATTAAAAGTCCAGATCGGGAACAAAGGAACCTTTATTTATCGAAAGAATGGGCTCATCAAAAAAACTGTCTCGATGAATGGTGAGAATGATGTTGAGCATATGATCATTTATGAATACCCACCATCGGATAATAGCACTGGTAAAATTTATTATTCGATTGATTTGAAAAGTATATGCGTATTACATTAAGTTTTATGTTACTATTGTTATAGAAGAAGAACGCGAAAAGCTTTATCCACCTCAAGCGTATGTAGAATTGGCTGATATTGAGCCAAGCGAAGAAATCCTCAAGAGATTTCAAAAACCAAATCATTCCAATGATAGAGAGAGAATAGTTGAAGATCACGGATCTGATGATTATGATAATGAGAATGGCAGTGGCTCATCCGAAAACGATAAATCCGATGAGTGTCAGCAATGGTCGAATGTATTAAAATCCGAAAATGATGGCGATTACAATAAAGAATCGAATTGGGTTGTATCTCGAGAGTCTTCAAAAGTATTGGCTTACTCACCACATTCGCCTATTCATTATAGCACACCAGGTATCGTTCCAAATTCACCTTATCCACATTCACAATATCATTGTTCTTCTGTTCATCAACACGCATGTGGCGGCAGTCAAATGTCCTTCCATAATTATAACAATCCTAATAATTTATCAGCCAAATCGCCATCGTTACACATCATTAATCCTATATTTTTGAGCCGCCCCGAAAACAATCCCACGATCAGCAACACTGTCGTTAGCAACAAATTTGGTGAGCAAATTCCTCGGAATCACGGCAACTTATTGCCTGCCATTTCCGGTCGTCATCATCCTTATCATAACCATAATTTAACTCCAATCACAAACACAACAAATTTTCATCAAATTGAAAATGCGCCGATTGAACCATCTTTAACATACCCGAGATATCCAAGTGATGATGTCAGAGATAATTTAAGATTGATGTCTCCCGTCGCTACAGCTACAAGCAGTAATAATCTCTTCTCAAATTCATCGTCGCTGAGAAATTGGCCGACGACAAATAATTCTGACTCGCGTAATTTTTTCCAAAACAATCATAACAGTACTGCTAATGGGATAGAAAATGGCGATGGCGCTGCAGGTGATGGAGGATGCATTGATCCGAAGTGTCTTGGGAACTTTTGATTTTTAGCGTTTTGAGAATATTGTGCACATTTTGTCTGGTTGCTAACAGATCAATAGAAATAAATATTTAATCTTGCATTTTGCGCATAGAGAAGTTTGTTTTATTGCATTTTTGATGATGTAGTATTAACAATAAAATGAATTCCATTTTATCATATACTATAAATAAAGCTAATAGTATTTTTTGAGAAGGTAATTAATTAGTATTTCAATCCTGTACATATAATGTGATTAAAGTGACGAAAGATCCAATATAACAATTAAGATTTGAAGCATCAAATTTTATGTCAGCATGAGATAAAAATTGCGCCTAATCTTCTATATAAACACTAAGAAATTTAGTACTATCTTTGCATGCATGCTAATACGTACATGTAGTTTCAGTAAGGAAAATTATTGACCTATATATAGAAAGGCAATCCTACATTACGTAACAATAAAGATTAGCGATAGCGATAGTGAATAACTAACGCTAATTTTTAAACTGTGCAGTTAATATGCATTTATTGCATGGCGATAGTATTTGATGCAATAATTGCACTGGCACTTTTTAGTCAAAAGTAAAAAAAAAATAATTATTAAGAAAACGATGCTATTCTCCTTTTAAATACAATGAATTCGGTCCAGATATTTAAGCATGTACTGTATAATCTTGTGTTTGAATTATTGGACGATTAAACTTTGTTCTAATGAAGATTTCAAGATTTTCTTTTATGCCTTGAAGTTCCATGTGCTAGTTAATATGCTAGCTTTATTTTAATTGGAAAAGAAACAAGATACTTTTTAGGTTTGGTTCATGAATTTAGAGAATAAAAATTTCAGTTTTGAATGCAAATACACGTATAGCACCGAAAATTTTTTAAGTTTATTTTCGGGTAGCTTTTTTTTGGCGGTAATACCACATGTATATGTTTTGCCACTTCAAAATTAATTTTTGATAGCGTATAAATATAAATACGGATAATTGATATCACCAGTATTTATAATTGTGATGAGAATGTCCAATTTTTTAAATATTATCGTTTGTGTTCATTTAGAATTGCAAGATTTTATACTACCCCTGATGTTATCATTATCGAAACCTTCACGTTCAAGTGAAATCAGTGTCACAAAAATCACGTGTTTACTAGAAATAATTACTGTAATACGTACATGTAAAACTTTTGCATCACAGAACCTCTCTGTGTAACAATGATTTGCAATAAAATGCACTCGAATAGTAATTGTGCGTCTTTTTTTATTAGAGCGAGAAGTTGTTTCTATTAAATTGTTTTGATCGTATCGTCTTATAATTTTTTCACAATCTCTCAACTATTATTAGCACAGCAAGCAACCTTTGCAAGAGCAATAAAAGTCTTAATTTATACTGACTCGTATACACGTCCGAAATCACTGGAAATCATTTTATCATAATCGACAAAAACGTCAACTTATTTGCAAATATGACTAATATCAATCCCAGTTTTATACAACTAAGACGCACCATTCCAGCTGCAAATATTGAAAAAGTTGATGACATTTATAACGAGAAAAACATCGACGCGTTGTATGAAAAAATAGACGGAGCGAGTAAACCGCTGTATCGAGGGATTATAAAAGCTCTGTTGTTGAGGGATAATGTGCCCACACATGACTCAATGATCGCTGATTATATTCAGGCGTTTAATTTAGCTCACTTGGGGTAAGTCTGTCTTTATGTGTTGTGAGTGTAAGTAATCATAAATTTGGCAATTGTAAAATCACATGTTCATTTGTATAATCGTCTTAAATAAATAACGATAATTAACTTATCTTTTTTAGAGGTAAAACTCCACAAGCCACAGTAAATGCAAATCTCAACTCTTACGTAAGAAAATGCAAGCAAGGATCAATATTTAATAAAACTTATAATGAGAAAATTTATTGGAGTTTAAATGAGGATAAAGATTACCTACATGAAGCCATTATAGAGTATCGTCGATTCTTAAACACGATAACAACGGGTCAGCCTACAATCCGACGTCCAGTTACACTAGCAAATCCTTCTCGATCAGCAGATTCGCCCGAGGGTTCAGAAAAATCAGAAGAAAACGTTTATTCAAGTGCAACAATTACCGCGAATGAATCTAGTTCTTCGCAATCAGACGATTCACCCAAGAATGATGCTTTTGTTGCTATTAAATCCACCAAAAAACGAGGCGTTATAGCCAACTCTCCTCGATTAGAAAATTTACTCGAGGATTCAACGGATGAAGACATTAATAAAACTGCTACAACTAGGTTTAATCAGAGTCCATCTGTCGTCATCAGCACATCACGAGTGAATCATCTCAAAGATTCAAAAAAATCAAAGGGAAACAGAAACACTGGCGCCGCAAATTACCCCACTCAAAGAGCCGTTGTAAGACCTAGAACTAGTTCTCGTTCGGAAATTGTCCGTTCGACTTCTTCTACAACTGCCGCAAATAATTATGGTTTCGTTCCAAGAAGACCATTTGTTGTGGCTATTGGTGGTAATAGTCCGGCTCGATCCAGCCTCGGTCCGGTTTTGGTTCGGTCCAACAGTAGCGCGGATTCTGGATCGTGAACTTGGACTATATATGTTATAAGTACATGTATATTGATGTTTATATTTAATTCTTCAAAATATTTCCATTCTATCATTGCGAGACACAACAGTATAAGAAAAACATTGTTTAAATCTTGAAATCTAAATCGTCTTATAATGACAAATAGTATTTAAGTCGTTTCTTTGCGAAGGGATTCTTTTCTGATAAAGAAGCCTAAAGGTGAATAAATTTCATTGCAAATACGTCATTTTGATAGGGTCAATAGCATACATGAAATAAATCCAAATCCAATCATCGAAACCGTCGCTGCTAAATAAACAAAGGGTTTTGCCAGAAAGAATGATTGCTAAAATGATGTAAGAAACACTCGCTCTTGGATATTTATTTAAAATCTTTTGTTATAAGAAAGAATCTCTCGATATACGATACAAGAAAGATTTTTTTGTTCGATCCAATTGCTTTCTTATATCGAGGGTAAGTTGCATAACGATAAGAAAACTATCGTTTAACGTTTACAAGATTAATACGAAAGAAAGCTTTGAAATATGAACTTTCTAAAAAAGTATGTTTCCTGCCAGAGCGCAGAAGAATTGAATTTAATCTCAAATTTTTTCTCCATATACAAGACATGATTCTATTTCTAGAGTGCTTGATTTCCACATACCGATATAGTAACGGTAATGTGTTCAGATTATTTATTATCGTTATCGTTATTGTTATATTGAGAGTATTTACATGTATTATCGTTATCGTTATAGACCGTTTTGAACTCATCGAGTTTAAAAGAACACCGTCATTTCCTAAACAAATAAAATTGTTTTTCTTTTTGATAAATCATTTTATTAACTTCTGATATTCTAAATAGATAATACATGTAATTTCAGATGACCTGTCTCAATTACAGCGTTAAGTGAATCTGAATATAGAAGAGATTTTAAATATTTAAGTTTTTTACAAAAACCTGAAAATTAGCTTGGAAATATTATGAGATATAATTAACAAGTTCTTATTACTGATCTGAAATAATTAATTACGTAGCATTCCGAACAAGAATCGGAAAGTTTTTTAATAAAAATTGAGATCAACTTTCTATTCAGCATATCAAAATATAATATCGATATAAAATTATTATTTGTCTACTTATGTGATGAATTTTTTATAATTAGAAAACAATTTCTAGAACTAAAAATTTCATCGGTGATTTTTTTTGATTAATTTACTGTTACTGGATTCCATTTTACATGTACTAGCGCTAGTATATGTACATACGTACCAAATTTACTAATTTACCTCCAAGTTCTGATGGGATAATTTCTTTGAATGTGGTAGATACCGATATACAGTCAACTCTTTCTATATGCACTCTCTCTAAATGCACGCACTATGTTTCTATTCTATAAATGCACACCTTGGTTCGGTCCCAAGTTAATAATATTACAAAGTAAAATGCTCTTATAAATGCACAAATTATCTAAATGCACTCTCAAGTTTGATTTTCATATGTCTCCCGGCGGTGTGCATTTAGAGAGAGTTGACTGTACAATGAGTGACAAAAGTTTTCAGAATTTACATTTTTATTTGTACTTTAATAACTTTAATGATTAATTGATAAAGTTTTATGAAATACACTATGAGATACGGCGAGTAGATTTATTTAGGGCTACTTTATGGAAATGCTTCCTTAACTTTAAAAAAATGTAGTGATAAATTTTAAGGAGAAAAATAATTGTTTATTATACGATCTTGAATAACTTGTTTTTTATATCATAAAGAATGTGTTTTTATATTTTATTTGAATTTGATAGTTTATTTATTATGTAAGAATAAAAATATTTTATTGTTAATCATTTATAAATTATATATAAATTTCATAAATATTTCTTATTTTTAATTAATAAAAATCTTATTTAACTTCTGAAAAGTTTTCACTATAACTAATTGAATTATCAAAATTCTTCCAAAATTATATTTGACTTATTTTATTAGTATCAAAATTATCTTTCAAATTATTTGAATTCCTTAAAGCAAATAAATACTTTTAAATAGTTTTTATATATTTATTAATATAAATAATATTTTAAAACTAAAATGCTTGCCAAATTCACTTTTTTCAAAAAGATTTTTTTAGATAAAACAATTATAAATTCATAATTTAATAATTAACAAGACAATATTTCTAGTACAAATTATTATATCACAATATATTTATTAAATTTATATTAATTAATTCTAATTATTGTCAAACTAAGTTACAAGTTGATAAATATATATATTAAAAAAATATTGAATTTGAATTTGAAAAGTAAAATTTTTTAAAAAAAATACTTGGTTTATACTTGAATTAGTGCAATAAATATATATTAAAAAAGTTCCGGGAGATAAATTACAAGAAAATTATAATTAAAAAATATTAGGTTATTAGTAATATTAAATTATAATTAATCAAAAAAATTCTAATAAAATAATAAACTAAAATTTTTAACAAATATCAAAAATAATTTATTTTTAATATTTTAGATATTTTGAATTATTTTCTATATTTAATCCAATAAAAATTAATATAATATTCTAGAATAATATTATATTTAATCTAATAAAAATTAAAATAATTAATTATTCTAAACTCTTTTTTGTACTTAATTTAAGAAAATCTAATAAAAATTTTAATATAATTTTTAATTGGCTTTTATTAAACTTAAATATTTTTCAAATAATAATATTTAATCTGGAAAAGATCTAAAATAAATTTAATAAAACCAATTAAAAATTGTTATCAGTATTATTTCAGATTTTTCAGATTAAATATTGTTATTCAAAAAATATTTTGAAATATTTAATCTAATATGTCTTATAAAAATTAATTTAAAAATAATATTAAGATTTTTATTAGATTTGTTCAAATTAAATTTTTCAGAATATTCTATAAAATAAAATAATTTTAGATTAAATATTAGCTCAGTAAAATCCAATTCTTTTGATAATTATATTGTTGGATCCAATAGTAATTTATTTTTATTATTATAGCTGGTTTTTAAAAAGTATGATAACAAAATTTTTATACATGTATAATATGATAATAAATTAACTATAATTAGTTTATCAAGTTCTTTAGTTTACTAGATGTTATGCTAGGAATTTAGTATATTTTTAGCTTAGAACGATTTCAAAATTTTATTTTAATCTTATTTTTGTTACAGAATCAATACTTTAATTTGCATTTAAATAAATGTATATGTTACTTATAACATATATTATTAATTGTGAACTTGCTATAATTTTCAGAATAAAAATACATGCTTTTTGCAAAAAGTTCTTACATTTTTTCAGAAGCTTACAAATACATATTGCAAATATAATAAAAGAAAGCAAAGATTCAAAGATTGTACGAAAAAATCAAATCACTCTTCTCACAACTCTTCAAACTGCTTTAATGTGTACTGCTCCACCTTTATAAACGTTAGAAAAAAAACCAGAAATTGATAAAATCATTATAAAAACACCAGTTTAAAAATTGCCAAAAAAAAGAAAATTCATAATGAAAAACTTACCCCTCCAATAATATGTGAATTCGTTACAGGAATTTCTGATTCTTCACCAATAAAAACAAAGTGGCAAAACTCATGAAAGTAAAGAGCTTGAAGGCGGATGAGAGACCAATACAAATAGTGCGCTTCATCGCCATCCTTGAATTTAATATTCGTATGGATGGAAGTCAATCAATAGTTAAATTTGGAATACTATAATGAATGATTTAAAAATAGTTTCTTACAGTGAAAATTTCATCTTGTTTGAGTATTTCGATTGTTCCATTTCTCAAGCTTAGATCAATCATTTTTTTATTAAACCTAAAGCTGGAATGAAAATAATCCATAAAAAGAAAATTAAAACAAATTTAAAAATAACTTGTTTTTCTGATTGCAACAATACACACCACTTGCTACTTGATTCTACAGGTGCTGATTTTATGATTTTTATGGTTTTAGGATGTATAACCAGCTTCCACGTTGAATTTCCATTCAATTCTTTTTGCTAAAGAATCATCAAAGATATTAAAATTTTAGATAAAATCTTAATCAAAAAAGAACTTGCCTTATTCAAGACTTTAAGGATCCTATCAACTAAATTCTCACTTGACTCGGCAACTAAACTCGTAAAAAGAACATATCCTCCTATTACAAAATATAAATACGGTTTATAAATAATTCAGTATTTATTCGAACAATTAAAAGAAAACTACTTTCTTTACCTGCACTAAATATTACTTTCAACTTTACGGAAATCGTAAGATGCGGAATACATCCAAATATTCGAAATTGGCATTTCTTTTTTAATCCCACGAGATGTGGGATTAGTGAAAGTTGATTGATTAAATCAAATTGTATCTAACCAAAATTTTAAACTTAATTAAATATTTTTTTTAAGAGTAAAACAGCATTTCAACCACTTACAAACACAATTTCGATTCCTTCCTCCTCAAAATCTGACACATAAACGGCATCATAAAACTTAAGTGCATTTATCAAATCTATAACTTCTGCGCTCTCTTTAACACCAAACACGGCGAATTTAGGACGCGTCTTGCAAATTTCTGGCAAAATATCCTGCCATTTATTGGCAACTATGACGACTTGAGCATAATATGCGTCTACATTTGAGGGTCGAGGGAAACTCAAGTGACCCACGTTTGGATTATTCTTTGGTTTAGAAACTGGTATCGTAAAAGGAACCAAAAGTGCCATTGCATTCGGTGGTCTTTGTGGTAAATCAAAAATTTTGTATTCACTATCGATGTTTGGGAATACGAAAATGCATAATGATTCGTCTTCATCCAAATATATTATACCAATCTAAAAAAAATATACGTATACGTATATAATTGAAAAACGTACATTAAATTAATTCTAGTATTTACCCAAAAAATTATTATTTACCTTTTTTGTTATTTTACAATTATTGAATACATTCGAAACTCCAGTAAAATCCTCTTGATGTGTGGCCGGTTGCATCACAAAAATCGAAAGCGGCTTCATTTTCTCCATCAATTTCATAACATAAAAAAACGAGATTAAATTATCCAAAACTATTTGATTTTTCGGCATTGATCCTCTATTAATAGATGCAAGGAAACAAAAATTACTTAAAAGATTGTTTTTACATGATACCAAAAACAAGTTACTAATATTTACTTCAAAATTGACGAATCTGGACAATGCCCTTTTAATGGTCTAACAACTACTTGTTTTTGGATTAGTTCTTTGTTGTTCAGAATTAACAAACCTTTCCACTCCAAAAGGATCTTGGATGGTTCTGTTTTTGGTACTTGTTTGATATGTGAGATTTCTTCGGGGCGTGTCGAGTCTTTTAGAATAGATTTTGGCGTGACGAACAGATTTTCACGTTCCCTGGGCATTTCCAGTCCGAATCTCCAAGCTGGTGGCGATTGTCGCTCAACCTGTCCCGAAAATTTAACTCCTTTTTTTACTTTTTCATGATGTGTTTGTTTATTGTTTCTATTTGAAATATAAAATTATGTTAGAATCAAAAGAGTAGTTAAAAATACAAAAATCGCTTACGATGGAATGTTCATCTGAACTGTTTCCTCGATCTCTTTTTCTGTGTTCACAACCCTGGGGACATCTGACAATTGCTTTGGCTTCCCTTTTTCTTTGCCAGTTTCCGAAACTCTAAGGAAATCAATATTTTTCTTGATGGGCTTCCAAGCAGATTCAGAAGAAATCACTTCTCTTTGTCGTTGAGGAGGTATTTGTGGTGTTGATGAGGTCGGTGTTGACGAATGATTTGCAGAAGGAGAAGGTAGAGAAATCGTCAAATTCGCTTTTTTCTCGATCTCTTTTCCTGTTTTCACAATTCTGGGGATATCTAACGATTGCTTTGGCTTCCCTTTCTCGATTTCTTTGCCTGTTTCCGAAACTCTAGGGAAATCAATATTTTTCTTGATGGGTTTCCAAGCAGATTCAGAAGAAATAATTTCCCCTTGTCGTTGAGGAGGTATTTGTGGTGTTGATGAGGTCGGTGTTGACGAATGGTTTGCAGGAGGAATCATCAAATTCGCTTTTTTGTAATTTTCCAAGAGTTTCTCGCCATTATGAACGCTGTTATACGGGAACCACATTGGCTCAATGTCTGAATTTATAAAATTATTTATGAAAATACATATAGATATTCATGTTTACAAATCATATAGTAATGATTCTTTTATTGAATATACCTTTAAAATTAACTAGCACATTCAAATTTCCTTTTTCATCTTCTACAGCATCGACGATTTCTCTGACAATGTATTTTCGTTGCGTGTTATTACTTTTACTGCTGTTATTACTGCTACTTCCTGGTTGATCATCGTAAGTAGGGATGACCAACTCGTGGGTCGGAGAAGCAGGACGAAAATTTCTTCCAAGCATGTGTTTTCGTCTAATCCCAAAATATTATATTTACGATTATTTTTGTGATACATTATTCTTATTACGTATTGACTTTATACATACGCTTTTCGCGAAGAACCTCGAGAAAATCTTGGAGTTGATCTGTTTTTATATTTTGACATCTCTAAGCAAAAAGTGTGTTTTTACAAAAAAACCAAAATGGATTCTTCTTTAGACAATTTTTTCGGTAAGTTTAATTTATAATAATAATGACGTGTTATTTATTAGACTTTGTGCCAAAAAGAAATACACGTCATTGTTGTAAATTTGTGTAGTTTCAACAAATGTGTGACATTTAACTTCTTGAACTTTTAAATTTATAATACGTGTTATAACGCAAAGCAAAATACATGCATTTAATTCACATTAATATAAAAATATAGAATCTGCTCCCGGTGAGGTTCGAACTCACGACCTTCAGATTATGAGACTGACGCGCTGCCGACTGCGCTACGGAAGCAATGCATTTAGTAGATTAGGTGTCAAATTTTTAATAAATAAATTAGAATATCTACACTATATATATACGAAATCGCCAGCGTGTAGGGGGAATCGTCCGACCACGTGATTTCCGGACCAAATGATCTGCATTATTTGGTCCGA